TTACTATTGTTTGAATTTATTCTTGGGGAAAAGGGGCAGATATTTGCTATCTGCTGCCTTTCATTTCATTTTATTTTATTTGTGATTTGTATTTTTTCTTCATTTTATATAGAATTTATTTAGCTTTTAATGAAATGAATAAATCTTAAATAACAAAATAAATCATGGTTTTAATTGTGTTGTAAGTTTGTGACAACAGAGCTGAGAAACTCTGAGTCTTCATCAGCTGATCAACAGATTATTAGAATYTGTAGAAACCTCTGGAAGTCAGRACTGGATGGTCRTGAYCTTCAGGCCCTCAGGGGCCACGACATTAAAACCAGGTTCTGGTTCTGTTGTGGACTCAGACATGGGTCCACGCCTCACTGATTGTTATCAGCAGATATAATCTGGTTACGACTCAGTAAATACAGATTAAAAACTACAGGTTTTCATTCCAGCACAGCCACGTTACTCAGAGCGAGTTTATTTACAGAGTTCAGCTGCTTCATGTGGAATCATTTCTGTCATTCATGTTGTTGTTGTTGTTGTTGTTGTTGTTGTTGTTGTTGTTGTTGTTGACAGTGTTGTTGTTGTTGACAGTGTTGTTGTTGTTGTCAACGTTGTTGTTGTCAATGTTGTTGTTGTTGTTTAATAAAACAGCTGGAGGTTCTCAGAGTTCTGAGGTTCAAATCTAAATGTTGATAATGAACTGTTGAACACTGCTCGATGACGTCACTCCCGGATGTCTCTACAACACAACCAGAACCTGACCCTGAAGAGATCCGGGTCAGCAGRACTCTGGAAGGCCATCTAGACCTGAAGACCCAGTCTGACGTCCAGCAGGGACCGGGCCTTTACAAACAGCTCTGTGCCTCCACGTGAGCTCCAGTGTCAACATCCAGTCCAGAACCCGACCCCAGAAGACTGCAGTCGGGTCCAAACAAAGTTCTGGTTCTGCTGCCTGACGGGTCCTTCAGACGGAAGACTCGCGGGCTGTTTTGGATCTGAGACCTCCGGCCCGACTCAGGAAGGGGAAGGMGGTACCGAGGCAACCAGCGGCCACYGTGAAACCCAGACTGGCCCAGGCGCAGCAAATGGACCAGCCGTAACCGTGGTCCACATCAGATGGAAGACCGTAGATGAAGGGCGGGGTCCTGGAGAGGTCGTAGGTCACACTGGCTGCATACGTACACAGAGAGATGGTGCAGAAGATTCCTGGAAACCAAGCACAACCAGGTACTGGATTAGATTCAGAAACTGGATCAGAGCAAAGAAGGTTCTTCAGAGTCCAAAAACTGGTTGGATACAGTACCAGAGACTGGGTCAGAGACCGAGGACTAGACCGCAGAAATAGGGTTGGGCAATATTGACAAAACAATAAATCAGGATGAATTGTGGTATTTAGCTGATAAGGATTAATATGACGATGAATCACCTGGAGGCCCTGGTCACCCTCATGTCCTCCTCATATGACCAGTTTAAATCACTCTAGTGACAAAGATTTGCTCTCTGTAAAAATCTGTTCCAAACTGTGTCAAAAGTACAGACTTCAGGCTTTACATCAGTTTTTAAATTGTGTTGATAGACCAAGTAAAACTGGAGTTATGATGAATGAATTACAGAACTTTTTAAAATATTAGTCAGAGAGGAGCATGGAGCGGACTGACCGAGGAAACCTCCAGTCTGCCTGCTGGTATTAATCCTATTAATCCCATTAATCCTATAAATCACATTAATCCTATTAATCCTATTAATCCTATAAATCACATTAATCCTATTAATCCC